TTGCTTCCGAATGGAAGCTTTGAAATTGTTCGATTTTTCGAATCACTAATTTTGCTTGTAAACGATGTAGAATGGTCTGAAACGTAAAAATACGAAGTTTGACCACCATGTGTGTATGTGCGGGTGTCCACCTGGTGGTCAACTTTTAGAAAATTGAAGGAATAAAGGACTAAAATAATTGAAAAAAATCTGGAATTTTGCCAGATTAGAGGTATTTATGAGGACTAACTCTGTGCTACAGTTCAGCTCAATCAGTCCAGCCGTTTTTGAGAAATCGCCATTTGTTTATAAATCGTTTTTTGCAAATATCTCAAAAACTATCCAACCAATTCCAATTTTTCTTTCTTCAAAATACTCGTCTGAAGGTCTCCTATCTCAATCGACTAAAATATGTATACCCGTTCATACAAAGTTTCCGAGATATTTTCATTTTTTGGGTTTTCGCTCGAAGCGCTTGTTAACACTCTAACTTCCGAAAAAATCAATATATTAACTTGAAATTTGGCACAAAGTTCCCTCTTAGCACTAACATATTTCATATTGAAGATGAGCTGAATCAGATGAATAGTTTTGGAGATATTTAACTTTATATCTAAATCTATTTTCTTGAATATCTTGAAAAATACGCAACGGATTTCAATTTCCCTTTCTTCAAAATACTCGACTCGATGTCTCCTATCTCAATAGATCAAAATATGTATAGCCGTTCATATAAAGTTTCCGAGATATTTCCATTTTTCGGTTTTTCGCTTAAACCGCTTCTTAACACTGTAACTTCCGAAAAAATCAATATGTTAACTTGAAATTTGGCACTCAAATGTTTTGTATTGAAGATGAGCTAAATCGCATGAATAGTTTAGGAGATATTTAATTTTGTATCTAAATCTATTTTCTTAAATAGCTCAAAAACTACTCAACCGATTCAGCTCATCATCATTTATCTGATCAATTTTTTTTGCCAATCTAGGTTTTCCTCATACCTTTAGCAAACGCGATAGAGTGCTTCGGAAAGAGTTTGGATGGGGTTAAAAAAGGGATATTGAAAAGGAAAACAAATTTTATCATGCTAAAATCATTCGGAAGCTGACTACCAATGGAATTGGTAGAAATGAAAGAAGAAAAAAAGAATTTTAACACATAAAATAACAGTCAGATGGCTTCTACGAAAAAGGCTGCACCCCTGCTTGTTTGGAATCATTTTAGCCCTTTATTCCTCCAATTTTCAAAAAGTTGACCACCAGGTGGACACCCGCACATACACACGGGGTGGTCAAACTTCGTATTTTTACATTTCAGACCATTCTGCATCATTTCCAAGCAAAATTAGCGATTCGAAAAATCGAACGATTTCAATGCTTCCATTCGGAAGCAATACTTACGTCGAGACGTCCTGGTAAGTGATAAATGTGGACTTCATCACCAATGATTCCTCCCCGGATGTTCATAGTATTCCAACGATGCTGATAGTTCGATTCTTTCGCGAGACGATGATTTTCAATAGCCCAATAATGCTCATTGTCATAATTGATAATCCCCTTTCTCACGAAAAGTTTCTCATCTGCCCAGCAAACGTTGCGTATGAAATCGGGATCGCGACTTCTGTCAAGGAGCCATTGGCAGAACTCCACACGCTTCGGCAAATCCTCCGCTTTTAGCTTCTGAACACGCGTGTACTTCCATGGATGGAAACCTTTAGTTTTCATCACGCGATGAACCGTGGAACGGTCCGTGTGTAATGCGGATGCGATTCCCCGGATGGCCATTCCTGGGTATTCCTCAACACACTCGAGAATTTCCTCCTTCAACTCCACGTGACCTGCTCGTCTTGGGCGCCCTTTGCCGTTCCTTTGGAGGACGTTACCCTCCATCAGCCGTTGAAAAGCATCCCTGAAGGTACGTGGATCAGGCACCACACGATTTGGGAACTGCTCCGCGTAGATTCGAGCAGATTCCGCCCCAATGCCCCGCGCAACAGCATAAACTGCCACGATATCTGCGTATTCCGCTGCCGTGAATCGAACCATTTTCACGATGCGTATCGCACGGAAATCACAATACGAATGACCACGTCCAATAAAAGAATTAACAAAATCGGAAAAACAAATGAGTCGGGAGCGAGCTCACTTGTTTCCCAAAAGACTTCTTTGTTTTTTCATGAGGGAGAGATGAGGGAGGATGAGGAAGAGACGAACGTAAGGAGCGTCACTTGAAGAAAGAATCAAACCTCACGAGGGTCACGTGGGGGAAAATAATTTTTTTTTTAGAGTCTGCGGCTCACAAGGCTCACGAGAATTACAAGTGGAAGGGACAATGACAGTTTTTTTTTTTTTTAAGGCCTCGGAGTTCCTTTTTCGGGTCCCATTCGGCACTCTATCCAACTCTATGCATGCGGCTGTGGATTCTACACTGTACCGCATTTGCACTTCTATAGAACATAGAAGTAGCATGGGGAAACCACAGAAAACCCATGCCGGTACAGGCGGTTCCTCTATTAGCACCTCCCGCTCGCCGGAGCCTTCCGTTGAAAAATTCGGTTCCACGGAGAATCGAACTCACAACCTTTCGCACACTAGACTTGCGTCTAATCCACTCGGCCACCGACGTCGGTACAATGACAGTTTAGGGACAATGGTGAAATTATGGATGTCTCATTTAACACCATGTGTATTGTGTAAGTAGCAACTTTGGAAATTGTTTCTGTTGTTGTCAAGCATCTAGGCTATCTGAAATACTGCATCTTTTGAATCGTCAATAATTCAAATTTTCCCCGAAAACTATTGTGATTTTTCCCTAGTGACTTTCGTGACGTTTGACCACACGCAAGTGACCCTTGTGATGTTTGACTCTTTCCCAAATGACCCCCGTAACCTTTGACTCTACCCCAAGAGATATTCGTGACGTTTGACTGTCCCCCAAGTGTCTCTTGTGACGTTTGATTCTCGCCTAAATGACCCTCGTGACGTTTAACCAGCCGCAAATGACCCTTATGACGTTTGACTCTCCCCCCAAGCACCCTTCTAACGATTGACCATTCGAAAATGGCCCTCGTGATGTTTGACTTTCCCCCAAGTGACCCTTGTGACGTTTGGCTCTTCCCCCAAGTGACCCTCGTGAGGTTTGACTCTTCCTTCAAGTGACCCTCATGACGTTTGACTCTTCCTTCAAGTGACCCTCGTGACGTTTGACTTTCCACCGAGGGATCTTTGTGAGGTGTGACTCTCCCCCAAGTGATCCTTGTAACATTTGACTCTCCATCGAGTGACCCTCCTGACGTTTGACTTTCCCCCAAATGACTCTTGTGACGTTTGCCTCTCCCCAAAGGGACTCTCGTGACGTTTGACCATCCGCAAGTGACCCTTGTGACGTTTGACTCTCCCCCCAAGTGACCTTCGTGACGTTTGACAATCCCCAACGTCCATCCCATAGCTACGACCATGGCCAAATGTCCAAATAAACAATTATCTCAAAAATGGGAAAGAAACGGGCTCTGATTTTCTTGGATTTTTTTTGTTGAAAAACCCTTTTTGCAATTATCTTGTAGACAAATGGGTTTTCAACATTTTGCCATTGAATGTTTTTTGTAGGGAATCTAATTTCCTACAAAAAAAGTCTATTTAGTGAATGACTAGATTTAGGGTGGATGTGGGATGAAAATGTGGAGGGAGATGTTGGAAAAATTACTGATGAGCTGGATTTAAAAAATCACTTTATTTTGTGGGATCGAACCACTTTGTCAAAACTTATGTACACTCTTTGGTAACATGTAATTTCACTGGTGATAGTCTAATTTCACTGATGATTGTCTTTGCACGTTAATTTGGTGAGTCAGTGAATTTAAACTGAATTTAATCAACAGAGGTGATGTACTGAATAAAGGTATTAAGTTTGGAATGCTATTTGACTGAATCGACTTCTCGATATGAACTCTTAATAATGTTGATTAATACTCGTTAATAACTATTCGGTGAATTACTATACGTTGAATTACTCGTTGAGTTCTACTTAATACTTGTGGACTAGTTGAGAGACTACTACTTAGTTGATGTGAACTCGTTGAAATACGAATGGATACTATACGACGTCTACATGTGATTTTCTCGAAATAGACTTATACGGTGAAAGGCTGAGCCTAAACTGATTCGCGCCTGTTTCGGTAACTTATGACTGATGACCCGAAGGTTCCCGGAGATTTTCGAAGTAGGCCGATGATCGACCAGAACGTTCTGGAATTTTAGTTGCGTTTCAAACAACGTCTTATGATGAAATAACCTAAATGCAGTAGTTTATTAAATAATTACAAAAATGTAATTAACATTGTTATGTCATTATTTAATAAACTATTGGGTTTACGTTATTACACCATGAAACTTTTTTTCTAGAAAATTGGATTTTCTACAAAAAAGTTCTGTTTGAGATTGAAGCTAAATTGAGATATCGGTTACGGAAAAGTGGAATTGTGGAAGGAGATGGAAAATTAAAACAGGCGGAATTATAAAACCATACTGTTGATGTACTTTATTGTGGACTACGCCACGCGTCTTGATAAATTAATAATTTCACACTGTTCAGTTGTTCGACAAAGGCAATTAAATGATGATTTGGAAAATGCACTGCACTTGAGATTCTCTCGATATTGAACTTGATGATTGACTCAAAATAATTGATAGTTAACTCGAAATTAATTGATAATTGAATTGAATTAAATAGAGACACTGTACGAAGCGCTAGACTCAAATATATCGCGTTGATCTACTCCGGTGATGTACTCGATTGAGCGGTTACGGCGATACAATGCTGTGATTAGAGTGACTCTCTCGGTGGCGAGAACGATAATACTGACTTTTTCGGTGATATTCTTCGTAGCTGACCGTGACCCCGAAGGGTCCCGAAGTTTCTCGAGATTTTCGTTGCGCCCGGTGACCGTTTGACTAGATTGAATAGCTAAATCAGGGATGATGAATTGTGCGTTGAATTTCTCTGCTGCTGCTTCTCTGCGATAATTACTCGTTGACTGGCTCGGGATCGTCTTCTGGGGGATGTTCTGCTGGTGGAGGGTCTGTCGGTAGGAGACAGAGCTTAATGATGGGTCTGATGAATGTGATGCTGCTACTGGTGATTCTCTGGATGTTGGGGGTACCATCTGGTCGAGTTAGTACTACTGCTCGTGATGTTTTGATGATTGCAACTCTTGCGAGGCCATCTTCTCCTGGGTGAACTGCCACTACTCTACCGATCGTCCATTTTGCTGGTGGATGGTCCTCGTCGACCATCAGGACCATGTCTCCAACTTTGATGTTCTCTCGTCGTTGATTCCACTTGTAGATAGCTTGGTACCTTTGAAGACACTCTCTGGACCACCTGGACCAGAATTGTTGTATTTTCTGGGTGATCAGATTCCATCTCTACAACTTGCTGGGGTTCTCATTGATGATTGATGGCTCTGGAATCACCTGTAGAGGCTCACCGATTAGGAAATGACCTGGGGTAAGTGCTTGGCGGTCTTCTGGGTCATCTGACATTGGTGTGATTGGCTTGGAATTGAGGCAGGCCTCTATCTGGATCAGGATGCTGTTGAGTTCCTCGCAGGTAAATGTCGTCGACCCATGTACTCTTTTCAGATGATATTTCGTTGATTTGACAGCTGCCTCCCATTTACCACCGAAATGGGGTGCTCTCGGTGGTGAAAAGCTCCATTGAGTCCCGTTGGTGGCGAGAGCCTGGATCTGTTGATTCTCTCTGGATGGCTAGTTGTACATCTTGTTGAGGACTGTTGAGGTGCCAACGAACGTGGTTGCGTTGTCACTGTACATAACGTCGGGGATGCCTCTCCTTCCGGTGAATCTCTTGTAGGCTCCGATGAATGCGTCTGTTGTCTGCCTGGAAACGAGCTCTAAATGGACTGCTGATGTACTGAAACACACAAATACTGCAATATGAACGCTAGATGGTTGGGCAATTGTGGGTCGCCATTTGAGAATAGGGAATGGGCTGGCATAGTCCACCCCCGTATGGAGAAATGCTCGTGAAGGTGATAGTCTCACTGCAGGCAGTTGGCCCATTAGCTGCTGGGCCTGTCGTCCACGATGTCGGATGTAGGCAGGGCAGCATGAGATATATGCTCTCACAGTGCATCTGCCGCCGATGATCCAATACTTCTGGCGTGTATGGGCTAGGGTGAGTTGAGTTCCTCCATGGAGTGTCCTTCGGTGAGCTTCTGCGATGACCAACGGTATTAAACGAGACTGATGAGGCAGGATAATTAGGTGAATCTCGTCAGGGTCTAGTTGAAAATTCTTAAGGCGGCCACCTAGCCTGAAGATGCTCTCATTGTCTGGAGTTGGAGTCAGCTTTGCTAGTGGATGCCTCCGTGGTATTTGATGGTCTCTCTCAAGTAGCCTGTGAACAGATGCAAGATATTGATATTGCGTAATTTTTACCCAAAACAGTCTGGCTTCGTTGAGTTCTCTAGAGGTTAAGACCGGTGTTTGAGGGACTGGCTGTCTTCTGAACGTGTCGATGGCTCGGTTCAGGGTGGCTGTTACTTGGAGGAACTTGGCTAGTGTTGAGTATCTGTTGAGGAGCTCTGCTACGGCGTTGACCTTGATAAATGTCTGATGTGATGGAGTTGGCCTTGTTTCTGCTGATGCTTCGGCTGGACAGTCAATTGGTGATACTGGCTAATTTTCAGGTTCCTGGTGTATCCACTCAGGGCCTGACAACCATAACTGATGTTCTGCTAGCTTCTGTGGTGATAGTCCTCTGGAAGCATAGTCGGCTGGATTTTCCTTACCGCTGATGTGTCTCCAGGTAGGGTTTGGAAGGGATTCCTGGATCTTGATGACTCGGTTTTGGACGAAATCCTTCCATCTCGATGGGTGACTCTTGATCCACGCTAGGGCTACACTTGAATCAGACCATAGATACATGTCTACTGCGTTGAGTTCCAGCATCTGCTGAGTTACAACTACTAGTTGAGTAAGCATGAGTGCTGCTGTTAGCTCGAGTCGAGGGATGGTCATGCGCTTGAGGGGAGCTATTTTTATTTTAGCGCATACCATTACCGTTGATGCTGGTTCATTGATTTGCTTGGTGCGGATATACACCACTGCGCTCATAGCTGCCGTTGACGCATCAGCAAACCCGTGGATCTGGATGCTCGATGTCTCCGATGATAGTCTCAGCCACCTTAGCACTGAGACTTGATTCAGTTGGTTGAGGTTCTCTCTGAAGCTCGTCCATTGATCTTCAGACTCTTTTGGAAGTGGTGTGTTCCAAGTCAACTTGAGTTTCCATAGATCTTGGATGATTATCTTACCTCGGGTGATTAGTGGAGCAATGAATCCCAATGGATCAACCACTTGAGCAATTTCTGATGCTACTACTCTCTTGGTGACTATTGCTGACTCAAACTGCTTTGATTTAAATCGAAATGTATCGGACGATTGATGACAATACAATCCGAGCACTTTGGTGATAGGCTTCTCGAACTGGATAATTGCTTTGCTCGTTGAGATTCCCAATTCTTCTAATACGTGTGGGCAATCACTGCTCCGCTTTTATAGAGCGAAACCGCCTGCTTGACAGAGCAGGCCCTTGTAACTGCCATGCGATTTCTTTGAGGTGACCTTCTGGATCAGCTCCGCCATAGATATCGTCGACGTAGCGACCTTTGGTGAATGTCGCGACGGCTGCTGGATAGTGATGTCCTTCATCCTCTTTTAATTGTTGGAGAACTCGTAGAGATAGCCATGGAGAACAATTGAGACCGTAGTTGACTGTGGTCAGTTGGTAGGTGATCTGCTGCTGATTTTCGTTGATCCAGAAAATTCTCTGGAGATCCGAATTGTCTTGATGCACTCGAATCTGTCTGAACATCTTGACAATGTCCGTTCCGAAGACAATTCTGTGTTTTCTGAGCCATGTTAATACGTTCATGGTATTAACTTGTAGTTTCTCACCCGGATAGAGGAAATCATTGAGAGATAATCCTGATGAGCTAGGACTTGAGCCGTTGAAGACAACTCTCAGTTTCGTGGTGAGTGCGTCTTCTCTCAGAACCCCGTGATGCAGTAGTTAGTATGCTGTGACGGGTTCTGCTCCTTCTGGTGCTTTGCGTATGTATCCCAGTGCCTCATACTCGTTGATGAATTATCTGTAGAGCTGGGAATATGATTCGTCTGTCTGGAGACGACGTGCAACTGACTGGAGTTGACGTGAGGCCTTGAATTTAGACTCTCTGAGCGCTGTTGGTGAGGTCCATAGAGGAAGTCTGACGATGTAGCGCCCAGTTTCGTCTCTGGTGTGTGTGGACTTGATGAATTTNATTTTAGCGCATACCATTACCGTTGATGCTGGTTCATTGATTTGCTTGGTGCGGATATACACCACTGCGCTCATAGCTGCCGTTGACGCATCAGCAAACCCGTGGATCTGGATGCTCGATGTCTCCGATGATAGTCTCAGCCACCTTAGCACTGAGACTTGATTCAGTTGGTTGAGGTTCTCTCTGAAGCTCGTCCATTGATCTTCAGACTCTTTTGGAAGTGGTGTGTTCCAAGTCAACTTGAGTTTCCATAGATCTTGGATGATTATCTTACCTCGGGTGATTAGTGGAGCAATGAATCCCAATGGATCAACCACTTGAGCAATTTCTGATGCTACTACTCTCTTGGTGACTATTGCTGACTCAAACTGCTTTGATTTAAATCGAAATGTATCGGACGATTGATGACAATACAATCCGAGCACTTTGGTGATAGGCTTCTCGAACTGGATAATTGCTTTGCTCGTTGAGATTCCCAATTCTTCTAATACGTGTGGGCAATCACTGCTCCGCTTTTATAGAGCGAAACCGCCTGCTTGACAGAGCAGGCCCTTGTAACTGCCATGCGATTTCTTTGAGGTGACCTTCTGGATCAGCTCCGCCATAGATATCGTCGACGTAGCGACCTTTGGTGAATGTCGCGACGGCTGCTGGATAGTGATGTCCTTCATCCTCTTTTAATTGTTGGAGAACTCGTAGAGATAGCCATGGAGAACAATTGAGACCGTAGTTGACTGTGGTCAGTTGGTAGGTGATCTGCTGCTGATTTTCGTTGATCCAGAAAATTCTCTGGAGATCCGAATTGTCTTGATGCACTCGAATCTGTCTGAACATCTTGACAATGTCCGTTCCGAAGACAATTCTGTGTTTTCTGAGCCATGTTAATACGTTCATGGTATTAACTTGTAGTTTCTCACCCGGATAGAGGAAATCATTGAGAGATAATCCTGATGAGCTAGGACTTGAGCCGTTGAAGACAACTCTCAGTTTCGTGGTGAGTGCGTCTTCTCTCAGAACCCCGTGATGCAGTAGTTAGTATGCTGTGACGGGTTCTGCTCCTTCTGGTGCTTTGCGTATGTATCCCAGTGCCTCATACTCGTTGATGAATTATCTGTAGAGCTGGGAATATGATTCGTCTGTCTGGAGACGACGTGCAACTGACTGGAGTTGACGTGAGGCCTTGAATTTAGACTCTCTGAGCGCTGTTGGTGAGGTCCATAGAGGAAGTCTGACGATGTAGCGCCCAGTTTCGTCTCTGGTGTGTGTGGACTTGATGAATTTCTCACACTCGATTTCATCTGGTGATAGCTCTGCTGATGAGTTCGAATTTTTTGGTAATTCCTCCTGGTGCCAAAATCTTTGAAGAAGTTCTTGTAGTTGCTCCTTTGAAGAATCCTTTACGGCCGATAGAGAAACCCTCGGTGAACAACCACTGCATTCGATTGGACCTGATAGTATCCAACCAAATATTTGTTGGCCAACTAATTGAGTGTTTCTGGACCTGAAGACTCTGCTTTTAATTATCAGCCCATAGCTGTCAGCCCCTATGATGATGTCTATTGGACCAGGTTTTAGATAATCTGGATCGGCTAGTTGAAGACCTTGTGGAGGGTCGATCCATGTTGGTGAGCACGAGAATGATGGTAGCTTGACGGTGAGTTTCTTGAGTATGTGAGCATTAATTTGCACTTGCTGCGATCCATCGACTGCTTGAAGCAGTACTGATACTGCTCCTCTCGTGTGACCTGAGTTGGTCTCCTCTATTCCGATTAACTCTATTTTTGATGACCTTCGTAAGAGTTGTAGTTGATGTACTAGTTCCTCAGAGATAAATGATAACTCTGAGCCTTGATCGATGAGCACTCTTGCTTTGAGAAGGAAGCCCTTTGGAGATTGTGCTCGTACTTGGGTTGTTGCTAGAAGTACATATTACTGATCAGCTGCTGAATGATGACTGCTCTGCTCGATGATTGGCTGTTTGGTGATTTGCTCTTTCATGACAGGCGATGTTGAGGTACTGATCGCCTGATTGGTGATGAGTCGTGTTGGTGATGTTCTGGATGCTGGTAGGTATAATTGAGAGCGATCAATGAGTGTTTTGAATTAGAATGAAACTAATTTTTTATGTACACTCAGCCCAGCTCGTTCTTGGTTGGACCGTCTGTGGATTTGCTGCCTGCTCAGCATCTCTGCCGTTGGTGTACGTGTTTCCACCATGGATGAGCGTGTGATGCCTACGCTTGCAGATGAAGCACGTCTTGGTGGACCTGCACTTTGAGAATAGATGTGGGCCCAAGCAGTTGAAACAGAGCCTTGTGCTGACCATGAACTCATTCCTCTTGATGGGGAACAGGTCGACGAACCCCTGACAGTTCGCGATGAAATGTGGTCCCTTGAAGTAGGCACAGTGCTCCTTGGGGAGCGGTCTGGTGGGCTCTTCTGGCTCCCTCTGTTGAGTTACTGCTAGGTGAGCATTTCTCTGATGTTCAGTTGTTCCTTGCTTCCAGCACTGATTCCTCTTGCGCAGGATTCAACGAAACCGCTGAACTCCTCCAACGTTCGGAAGTCCTTGGAATCTCCTAGCTTCAATTCCTATGCTCTGAGAGTCTCAGCATCCAAGGACTTCCTCAATAGATGAACGATCATCTGTTCACTGACGCTCTCCTTGGACAAGCCTGTCATGGTGATCAGCTGATCTCTCATCTCAAGGGCTGTCGCTGCATTGGCGTTGAGGTTCTCCGCAGTTGCCTTGGTGATCTTCGGGAGGTTGAGGATCCTGTTGGACAGTGCTTGAGCAATGAGTCTGGTATCCTCATAATTCCTCACTAGCTTCTGCCAAGCCTTCTCATAATTCTCACCGGTCACCGTGGAGGTGTCAATGAGATTTGCTGCCTGTCCCTTGAGAGCTTCCTTGAGACGTACTAGCTTTTACACTGAGGGAATTGAATCATCTTTTCCCACCAGTGACTGGAACTGGTCGCTGAACTGCTTCCACTCTGAGTATTTTCCTTCGAATGGTTTCAGTCCAATTCTCTTGAGTTGATTGGCTTGATCTGATGTTGTTGATGTACTCATTGATTCTCTCTTCTTGATGATTCGCTTGAGCTGGTAGATCAGTTTGAGGCAGGTCTTCTTCGGCGTTGAAGCCCTCTGATAGGTACTCTGAATAATATGTTGATGAGTTGGCAGGAGGTTCTCGCTGAGTTTGTCTTGGATGATGAGAAATTCATTCCATTCTCCTTCGATGATCTTCTCCTGGCCGTCCGACTCCACGACTGTGGGACCGCTAATGTTCTCGGCTGACTGCAACAATTCTTGATAAATATCATTAAGTGAATTTACCTTGAAGTCCAGTTCATTTGTTTGGAACTTCTGAGTATATGTGAGTTCGCCTATTGCAGTTCACATCTCGGCTACAGTGTGTTTATTTCCTTGTTGGTGACTGGAAGTCGCGTCAGGAAACTGCGGTGTAATTTCTCCACTGAAGTGCGCTTGAGATGGATGCTCAGTAATCTGGATAATTGGCTCAATTACGCTTGGCGTCTCCTAAGTGCGTTCATGCATACGTTGATTATCTCCTAACTCCGCGTCTGACATGGTGGTCGTCTCTGCTCTGGGTGAGGTAACTTATCGATAATAGGTAGATACCGACTGATGTTGACTTGGTGCCCACTGTCGATAAGGTAGGGTACGTTATTAGGTAAGGGCACTCTTCCAACTGCCTGTTCGTTTTCGCGTTGGGCGCGCGGCTTGGGCCTCGGCTAGTCCCGACGGAGACCGAGGTTTTCCGAAGTTGCACAGCACTAGAGGTTGAAGTATCACTACCGGTGTTTACAATACCGAACTTCAACTGTAAACACTAGGCATAACACTCTACACTGTTGATTGTCTTGACTTGTCCGTAGATTAGTGATGCCACACGCGGGTCCCACAGGTCCCCCACTCCTCGCTCGAGTACCACTGCGCAGCCTTTAGGGCGCCGAACGCCTGGCGCTCCGTTTAAATGGTTTGAATTTGATCGACAACGGCATGACTTTTTATTCCACTTGCATCAATGGACATTGAGAAGGAATAAATGTTTAAAATAAAGTTAATAAATATTAGACGATGTAATGATCGAACTTCTCGTGATCAATGGACCACGGGTTCAATGTAACAAGGGTCAAATTTCGCAACTGTCTATTGTCACAAGGGTTACAAGAGAATGATGAAAGTCTACGGAGGTTGAATGTTACAGTGGTCAAACTCCACAAGAGCCAAACATCACGAGGATCACAAGGGGATAGTCAAATTTGACGAGAGTCAAACATCGCGAGGGCCACAAAGGGATAGTCAAATGTCACGAGAGTCAAAGGTTGCGAGGGTCACAAGGGAATAGTCAAATTTCACAAGGGTCACAAAAGGATGGTCAAATTTCATGAGAGTCAAATGTCACGAGGGTCTCGCGGAGATGGTCAAATTTCACGAGGATCAAATAATTCGTACGCTAGCCCCGTTTCTCTAGGCACAACCGAATTGAATAAATGTTATTAGTCGAATTTACGTTACTGGTGATGTTGAATCTGAATCCGAAGTCGGGTTTTGGAAGTTGTGGTCAACTTTTCTTATTTAT